GGACTGCTCACTCCTGATAACATGTCCAAAGTATGTGAGATGTAGTCTCACCATCCTTGCTTCTAAGGAGCATTCTGGTTGCACCTCTTCCAAGCCAGATTTGTTTGTTCTTCTGGCAGTCTGTGGTATACTCAACAGTCCTCGCCAACACCATAATACAAATGTATCAATTATTCTTCAGTTTTCCTTATTCATTGCCCAGCTTTTGCATGCATATGCGGTGATTGAAAATACTCTCCATTTCAGTAATTGATTAAATGATTCATCAAAAGATCAATTCATTCATTCAGTCAACAAACATCTACCTCAAGTGATTTAAAAAATTTTTTAAATTGTGCTTCAGTTTTTCATTAAAAAATTTATACACAAATTGTTTTGTGACATTGGTTGCAATCCCCACAATGTGTCAGCACTCTCCCTTTCTACCCTGGGTTCCCCATGTCCATTCGTCTGGTTTTCCTGTCGCTTCCTGCCTTCTTTTGGGCAGGTGTTGCTCATTTGGTCTCTTATACTTGATTGATCTGAGAAGCACTTCCCTCACGTGTGTTGTTTCATGTTTTGTAGTCTGTCTAATCTTTGGCTGAAAGGTGGACTTGGGGAGTAGCTTCAGTTCTGAGTTAGCAGGATGTCCTTTGCGAGCCATAATCTTGGGGAGTCCTCCAGTCTCTGTCAGACCAGTAAGTCTGGTCTTTTTGTGTGTGTGAATTTGAATTTTGTTCTACATTTTTCTCCTGCTCTGTCAGGGACCCTCTATTGTGATCCCTGTCAGAGCAGTTGGTAGTGATAGCTGGGCACCATCCAGTTCTTCTGGGCTCAGGCTGTTGGAGGCTGTGGTTCATGTGGTCCTTTAGTCTTTTGGACTAATATTTTCCTTGTGTCTTGGTTTTGTTCATTCCACTTTGCTCCAGATGGGATGGAACCAACAGATGTGTCTTAGATGATAGCTCGCAAGCTTTTACGACCTCAGATGCCACCCACCAAAGTAGGAGATAGGAAATTTTCTTTATGAACTATGTTATGCCAATTGACCTAGATGTCCCCTGACACTATGGTCCCCAGCCATCAGACCCAGTAACTTGGTCCCTTAAGGTGTTGGGATGTCTCTGGGAAGTTTCTATGACTTTGCCTTGGTCAAGTTGTACTGACTTCCCTTATATTGTGTGCTGTCTTTCTAGTTAGTGACTTTCCCGTCCCACCCCTCCTCTCCCTAGTGACCATCAAAGATTATTTTTTTCTGTATGTAAACCTTATCTTGAGTTTTTATAATAGCGGCCTCATACAATATTTGTCCTTTTGTGGTGGACTTATTTCACTCAGCATAATGTCCTCCAAATTCAACCATGTTGTGAGATGTTTCGTGGATTCATCATTACTCTTTAACTTTGCGTAGTATTTCATTGTGTGTATGTACCACAGTCTGTTTATCCATTCATCCGTTGATGGGCACTTAGGTTGTTTCCATCTTCTTGCTATTGTGAATAATGCTGCAGTGAACATGGGGGTGCATGTGTCTATTTGTGTCA